AATTATTCTGTTATATTCGCAATATCCAGATTAAAAAATTCAAAATTGACCTACTTTTTCTTTAATCTTAACAAGCCCTCGGTTATTAAAAGCGCTTATGTTAATAAGACTTCAACTTTTAATGGACTTAAGGAAGTGGCTTATTAAAAGAACCTAATTACTGGCAGAAAAACATTCAACCTTTGTCTAGAACAGGGCAGTTATTTGCATTTCTTGAAATACATTCATTGTTTTTAAGACAAAAAAAATTGTAAACAAGGTTGATAATATGAATTTGTACTAAATAGCTTAACACGTTACTCTTTCAATTATTTGATGAAATTTGTCAAAAAAAAATGTTCTAAGTATAAAGGTTGATATCATTTTTTTTTTAATATTTTTTTCTACATTTTGTATTGGGATAGAAGATCTTATTGTATTATGTTAAAAAAAATAATGGAACATACACTTACGTGATAAAGTAAAAAAGCATAATTTTTGTGTTACCTTTAAAACCCGCTAAATTTTAACATTTGGTGCGAAACAATCGACAATCGCACAACAGTTGTGCCACTGTTTAGTTGCACAAGTAAAAATCGAATAGTATGCGCACCTCCATATAAGATCATAGGAATCAAACCGAGACTAAACAGTTTTGCGATAGTTTCAGGTGTGCGCGTGCTCTAAGTCAACATATGAACATATCAGTATCATATTCCCTTACGTCATAGAAAATATTTATGTAAATGATGTAGTTGACATCATTATGATAATAAAGCTAAAAGGCATAATTATTTTAAACATAAATTTAATTACAATGTATATGTTAATTATATTCTGGCAATGCAGTATAGGAATTTATTACCTGACAAATATTACGTCTAGAAATTCTTAGTGTTTATTAGTCCACATTATTCTTTCGTGCTTATTATACCTACTACATTTTGTCCGCGACTTCGCACGAAATAAAAAAAATCCTTGTTATGTAACCCATATATTCTTCCAGAGTTCTACGTATACACAAACCAAATTTCATTAAGATCCATGAAGTCGTTTTCGAGATAATTCCAAACATACATCCATACAAAAGCTCGCAATCATAATATTAGTAAGACTAAGAAGAAAGACTAAAGTGGACTGTCCCGACTTCATGCGTCATTTATTGCTTTTTACAATGTTACGGATGTAATCCATCTTATTCAGGGATATATGCTAAAGGATTTTTGAAATGGATAGTTTTTGAGTTTACTTGTTACAAGCTGTTTCTCGCAATTTCCCCCGTGTGAAACTAAATAATAAAAAAAATATAGCCTACGTTACTCACTGATTATTTACCTTTCTTCCTTCCCAGTAAAGGAATTTTTAAAATCGGCCCAGTAGTTTTTACGTGAAACGAATACATAAAATAATTCAAAAATACAAATCTTTCCTCTTTATAATATCGGTATAGACTAACATACAACTGTACAAATCTTCCCTCAATGTGGTATAGTAGAAATACACGAATTATTAACGAAGAATATCTTCTATACACTTTCGTATACAGGGCTATCATAGTTACTATGTGACATCTAGACTAAATAATGTGACATTAATTTTAACCGAAAAACATCATCCGCATAATTTTAAACGGATTTATTACACTTCTGTCCTTGTTACATCCATTAATACATTTCCTTTAATCCCATGAAAACATAAATAATGTGAAACATCAGCAAAAAGTTGTAGCTCAAGGCTGTTACAGAATTCGAAATAGGCCGTCAAAGACATGACAGTTGATGACTTAAACCCTTTAAAAATTCTCTACTAGCTTTCATCACCGACTCCGTGCGCGTCGGAAAAAAATAGCCTTTGTATTCTTCCAGACTATCCTCTATATCTATGACAAATTTATTGATAACAAATTTTAGCATAATTAAAACAAGTAAAATAGATTGAGAACAAAATAGTTGATAAACACAAAAAATATAAATTAAAATCACGTATAACTAGCTCGTAGCCAATTTGTAACAATCTGAAAGATAATTTATGTGAATCGTGTGAAGCATTTAAATACGAGAATTTTAATAGACATTTATGTAGATGACTTGATGAAAGTAAAGCTATAAAATTTCTGGCTATGAGAAATACAATTTGCATCCAATCCTGACATTACTAAATATTTGGACCAAGTCAATGTAAAATCATTTTAACATTCGGGAAAAAATCTTTTAGCAAATATGACGCGTAAAATTTTAAATATTAAATTACATTGAAGTAAGGATATGACAACAAGCTTCAATCATCTGTCGTTGACGTCAAAATTCGTAATAAAATATCTCCTTATACGAAATTAAGTGCAAACCACAAAGTAACAGAAGTGTGTCCGATTTGGACAAAAATCACTTTACGATAAAAAGATTGCTTTGAAAGCTCACGACAGAGTTATTTATTGCTTTCTGGTGTTATTTATCATTTCCTTTGTGCGATACACTCGACATTTGCATTCCATTTCTTCATTTGTTGTTAACAAACGATTGTTTGTTAATTACGTCAATGCAAAGTTTGCAGCTGTCTCTATATTAAATCTCTACTTAGTGCCCCCCTGAGTGACTATTAAGATAAACAAACTGCCTCATCTATGTCATCACTAAATGTAGACTTAATCATACTAATAATTTAAATTCGACAGTTTATATGGATGGATGGTTGTTTGTTAGTTTTGGTATAGATGAACACATAACCTACTCACTTTTGTATTTTTTTTTATTCCACGCGGACGGAGTTATGACCTAAAGCTTAATGTATATGACTTTATATTGTAAGGTTGGGATGGGAAGAGGAGGAGAATTTGACGGAGGAGGTGACGCGCATGAAGGGGAAATATCCTCTTTCTATGCGTTCTGTATCGATTAAACAAGACCATACAACTGCAAACGGAGATATCTGTGGGCAGCGGTAACTTCGATATTTAGGCAAATTTTCTTCTCTTGCTAAAGTTACATTTGTAATTCTAGATTGTAACTGTAGAGAGTAACTATCGTATCATATCTAAATAAAGAACAACTTTAGTTTTTTGACCTAATGATTCATCGGAAGGGTGAAGTGAGCGACTTAAAACAAAACATCGTTGAGTGAGGACGGAATTAGGGTACGTAATAAAAATTCCTCGTGGCCGTGGGAGAAATGATCAAACGAATTTTATATTAGAAGATTTCACATTGAAAAACCACGACGAAGCCAAAATAAAATTTGAATGAATAAATCCGATTTCTTCCATTGCTACTGTCCGAAAGAAATAACAAAAAAAACGGTAACCCATTAAAAAATGCCGTGGCAACCCTGTTTAAAAGGTACTAACGTTATTTATATCATCCTCTAAAAGGCTTTAGTAAAACGATCAAACGTGTTTGTCAAAGTGTCAAACAAAATATCATCAAATATTGGGACAAACAAATTTGACACTTTGATCAGCATTTCTTAATGCAAATTTTTAAATTATATTACTGGCAGTCTATAAATATAGAATCAATGAATGTGTCGGTAAAAAGATTCTAAAAAAAGTCAACTTTGTATCGAAAATATTATAACAGGAAATCATAAGCTCAAATCGCATTTTCAGTTTCACGACTTTATAATGGTCGAAATTATTCTGTTATTATATCCTCTTTCATCTACTTTATGAGACTATAAAATCCATCATTTGGAATCAATATGAAATCAGAACAGTAGCTAAGTAAACATTTAAAAAAATCCAGCCAAAATTGAATCTCGGTCATGAATTGACCTACAAATGTTACATTACAATTTTATAACTGGAGTAGAATAATAATAAAAAGTGTCGTGAGAGCGTCGGTGGCTCAGTAGTTTGAACACTTGACTTGTAATCTACAGGTCTTGGGTTCGAATCCCGCTATGCACCAATGTGATTTTAGATTTTTCGAATATTCATATGTACCTAATTTACCCGACGTTCTTACGGTGAAGGAAAACATCGTGATGCAACCTGCACATATTGGCGAAGAAATTCAAAGATATGTGTGAAGTCAACCCACCCGCACTGGGCCAGCGTGGTTGACTATGGCATAGTCACCCCACATTAGGGTAGGCTCTGAGCCCCTCGGTGGGGACGTATAGTGAGCTGGTGATGATGAATAATAAAAAAAAAAACTTAGAAAGATTGGGCGTAATATTTCCATAAACCAGTATTTTGATATACATCGAACGTTACGGAAATATTGTGATCTTTATTGAATGTGTAAAGAAACCAAAGTATTACACATGTCAGCTTAATAAGAAACAATTTACAAGAACATTTACCTCTTCCTTAACGAAAGTAAGCTTCTCTGTTGTTAAATGTTTTTCGTAATTGTGATCAACGATGCGAACATCCGGTGAAATATTATCTTTAAATAAATTAAATTAATGTATCGTGGAATAAGAGGAGCGTGGAAAAATTAAATTCGACGAATTTCTTAATTTGTCCTTATCGTGAAGACGCGGTAAGTTCAGTGTCAGAGGTGTATTAATAAACTCAATTGCCCTTAAGATTTTTTTAATGTTTGTGAAACAGCTGTGCCGTGATTCATACGACATTGGCCCGAGAAACATCGGGGAGCACGAATAATGTGTTTAAACATGCGCGCCACTCGATGTTATCACGGATGAAAAAAGTTCGAGGCGAAGAAGATTTTGCGAGACATATCACATACGCGCGCGAAAAGTTTAAAATTAAACCTACTTGTTTAACTATCTTCTTCGTGTTATTTGGAACGAATCTAAAAAGACACGTATCATCTCATTAAATGAATTGAAAATAAACTCTATTCATGACGTTTAACAGGTTTTGTAATGCTTTGGTCTGTCAGTGCAATATGACGTCGAATGCTATGTAAACAATATTGGCAATAAGACAAACTGTTTTGTATTAAGTCTATTTTCTACCAAGATAAACATTATAACATCCTCAGTTTCTCAACTTTGTTGCTTTGCGCAAAGGAAACGGTGTTGAACGGCGTAACATAGTGAAGAAATGTACTTACATTGTGTTGATGAAGCGTCAGAATCACGTTGTCGAAGGCCGATGAGTTGGACAGCGCTTCCGAGCTGCCACGCAGAAGCTCCGCTAACAGATCGGCACCCGGCTTCACGCCTGCCAATTTTGACGGCGACGACGTTGCTCTGACGTGTGTGGGCCCACGTGGCCTGCTTCCACACGTGGGCGCGGCGCCGGCGCTGATCTTACGGCACGGAACCGTCGCGTCCGAAAAACTTCTTCTGCCGGTTTCGGCAGATCGATTCGATGGCGCTTCTAAGTTGCGACCAAAAGGCCCTCTCGTCAAATGCTGTCTTTTGGCTTCCACATCGGAAGTATCCGACGGACTGAACGGCGATGGGGACGCCGTCCGGTCGCGAGAACAGGTATCGCTATCTGCTTCTGACGGAGAGTCTCCGCGTGAAGTCACTCCATACTTCCGTCTCACTCTGTAATTGTCTTCCTCTCTTTCGTCGGAACTTTGTTGCGAAAACCTGGCGCGTCGAGCTCGTAGCTCTTCCGACCTCGGCCACACGGGTGTGGTGCTCTCCGCAGGACTCGGCGGGCCATTCGTGCAAGAATCGTCCGATTTATCCCCGAGAAGCGAGGAGGTACGCGCTTCGGCCGAGAGACGCATCTCTTGCAGCGAGGCGTCGCTACTTTCGCGCTTGCAACCGTTCACCGAGGACGGTGGGTCCTCGTCGCCACCGTCGTCACTGGCAGTAGTTATATAAATTCCTTTTCGTCTCTTTGTTTTATCCAATGGTCGACGTCGTTCCCTGGCACTGATCGGAGCCGCAGTACATGGATTTTGCACAGCCGCTAACAAACTCGCTACCTGTTCACTAGTAATAGTCTCGTCCTCTTTGTCTCGGTCCAACGATCCGTCGGACGCAGCGTCCGAGCGCTGCGCTTCCTCCGGAGGCAACTCTTTCGACCACTGTTTCACTATACACTCATACACGGGCACGGGTATCGAACTCGCAATGGCGCTCGCGGTCTCATCGTCATTAACACTGGGAAAGCTACCGCACTCACAGTCAATGTTAGCACACGCGTTAGGGGGAGGAGCGGGGAGAGGTGGGAAAGCGAAAGGTTGAGCGGGTTCCATAGGAGAGGTGCCTTCACTATGCGCCTGCGCACTGTCGGCTTGGGAACCGTCACTTTCTTCACGAAGTTCATGTAGGACGCGGGGGGCCAGGGCGGGCAGACTGCCGCCGGCCTCAGTCGGGCCCTCCTCACGGACCGGGGGTATTCGTCGCGGCAACGGATGGGTCAAGGACCTACCACCGAATTGCTTATGTGGTCCTTCAGGTGGCGGAGATCGCGGCGCCGGAGACGCGTGCGCCAATAGTCCCTCGTCAGAGCCGACAGCGGAATCGACGGACGCGACTGACCCGCCTTCTGTCACATTCTCCTCGGTGGCTAAACTTCTCGTATCTGCATTACTAGGTTCAGTACCGCCTTTCCCCGAATCTGTTTTGGGGGACTTTTTTCCAAAATCAAAAATCGATCGCTGACGATCACCTTTATAATATTTATCCTGTGCAAAATCGCCCTGCGAGAAGGATGCACTCCTGTATGGTATTGTTTTTTGAGCGTAAGAGCCGACAATAGCGCGTGGTTCGACGCGGACGAGAGTGATGTTGTCGGCGTCGAAATCGTCGTAGCGGTCGACGGAGGCGCCGCGCGGCGGGCTGTGGCGGTGGCGCGCGCGCGGCGGCGGTACGGGCGGCAGCACTGGCGCCGAGTGCGGCGGCGGCGCGGGTGGCGTGTGAGGAGCGGGCGGCGGCTGCGGGGGCTGCGCGCGCGGCAGCAGGCGCTTTGTTAGATCCTGCAAGCGCTGATGTCGCGAGGGCCGGTCGTCGCGCGCGCCGCGGCCCAGGCGCCGGTGCAGGCGCTCCAGCGTGCGGCGGTCGGGCTTGGCGCGGCCGAGGCACGCCGCCACCGCCTCCTCGGAGCAGCAGCGGCAGGGGCAGGCGCGCGGCGGCGGCACACGGCGCACGGTGTAGCGTACCGCGCCCAGCGTCACGTACGGCGACCTGCAACGCCGAAGTATATTTAGACGCGGACGCGACCACCGAGCGGCCGAGCGGCTGGACCGCGAGTGCGACCGATTTAGAGCCGGCCGACGCGTCGCTGAATTCCGGGAGGATTCCCCGCGACCCACTCCGCAAGTTATATCCGAACGGATGAATCGTGTATGAATACTCGCTTTGATGAACCGTGGGTTCGACTGAGAATCTGTGATTCTGTACGTGTAAGCTGTGGTATGTTCGCGAGGCGCGAGTGCAGCTCGCGTGGAGACGGCAGGTGGCGGTGGCAGACGGAACATGTATATAAATAGGCGGGCGTTGACGATTTCACCAAACGACGACCTCGCGCTCGTGTTTACATCTGGTATCTCGTTGCCGAGAACAAAGTTGCCATTTATACTAGTTCCATGAACCACCCGCGATAACGAGACCTTAGCAGTGTTTGATATTAATTAACGTAGCTAGCACAGGATTAGTCTTACGAAATATAAGCGAGATATATCAGAACTACATTGATGCCTTGTGCCTAGAACTAGTATTATAAGAACTTAAACTTGTCTTCCGATGTGTAGTAACATTTGCATTCCGATGTGTAGCAACAGATTGCAGACTTGCGCAGGCGCAGGCATTACAGAAGTTAGGTATACTTAAAAATATAGTGCTTAATACTATTATTAGTAAAGAAAATAAAATGAATTCGGTAAATACAGGGGACCTGGTGAAGTCGCGCCTTCTTCGCGCGCCATCTTGCGGCGAGCGGGGGCGCGTCTCGGACGCCATTGACGATCACGTGACGCCACGCATGCTGCGCACGCTTACACACGGACCTATGAAAAAAATACATTTTTTACTAATTATGGCGTTAACATAAAATATCAGATGCAAATGAAAGGCGAATTTTCTAAAAAATATTTAAGCTAAGAATACAGTAGATGCTATATTTACAACTTAAGCTATCTTAGTCCATTAATTTTATTCATCTTAAAAAGGCACTCAAGTTTGAAGTTATTCATTTACATCATACTGCAAGATACATACAGCGCCATCTATCGAAACAGAAATAGACTATTACTTTCGATACACAACAAAATACGCTACTTTAGGCGGCCACGTTTTGGGCGGGCGGGGTTAGCGGATTCGTTCACCACTTTGACGATAGATGTCATTACGTAAACTTTTACCATCGGGTTGATCGCAGTAACCGTCTAAACTTACGAGTCGGTTATCGAGTACGGAAGTATCATAAAACAGATTGTCTAAAATGTTTAAAGTAATAAACAGGCGGAAGCCCTTCCTATTATATACACATATTGTGACAGTTAAGTTGCATAATATTCAAACTAATTAGAAACATTACTGTAAAATTAATCTTCTAAGTTGATAAGATAGGATTAATGATATTTAAGAAAATACTCGTCTATAGAACTAGCTTTCGTCCGCAACTCCGTCCGCGTGAAATTGAAAAAATAAAACAAAAGTGAGTAACCTATGTGTTTTTCGTAACTATGCTCTACATCTAAGTTAAATTTAATCGAGATCCAAATTCCATCCATCTAAACTTTTGCATTTACAATATTAGTAAGATTATTTGACCCATAGAAAGATTATTAACCAAGTAACCCAATTCAATTCAAACTTATACAACTTTGGTAACTTAAAATATTGTTTTTATTTACATTAAAACTGTTTTACCACAAGGATAAGTTACGCACTTGGCGCCACACTTTATCAATCAGTGCCTTATATAGTAATTACATCTTAAACCCAACAAGGGTCAGACAAAGGACCCGAGGAAACGTTTCGACGATTTGACAATATAAAAACTTCCTCAATACAATGTCGCATTGTTAACTTGATTTATGCAAAACGGCGATTTATTAAGTAGGAATTTTATCTTAGGGTTGTCAAGTAACACTTGAAAGTAATTAATTGTATTTATCGAAGTTAAGTAGGCGGAAATCGCTTGACAGTTTGAGATATTTATCTACCCACTATTGGATTGGATTTCTCCAGAATACCATCCTCCATCTTTCGCATCAAACGATGATAATGGAAAAAAAAATGTGGTAGAAAATATCTGTATGCCTTTAAAAGAGAGGGTATATAGCAATTCGTAATATTTTGTTTAACTAATCCAAACAATATTTTTGCTTTAAAAACGCGAGAGTATCTTAAAGAGAGAGTTCAATAAATCTTATGTGTATACTTACATGAAACAAAGAGGTAATTACTTTTAGGCAATTAATATACTTAACTAGCGATATTAAATTAAACAATCCACTAGAGAACTCAGGAATGCGCGCGAATCATCAAGCCTTCTAATGACATTGACAGCTGTCAGCTAGGGACGTGACGTTTATGCCGACAATCTAGTGTTGCGCCAATTCTACAGCACGGTACTAATTTTGTTCTTAACAATAATTAACACTTTTAACTGGAATTTATATCCCGACAAGTTATCAGTTAGTCTTTGTAACACAATACGATATCCAAACGGCCTTGTTACCTAACCGCAGACCCAGGCCGCATTATATAAATTGTATCAACTACGATGTTATTATACGACCACATACGTCTATCTCGGTCAATGTAAAACTATTTTAGGATGTAACTAAATATAAATACTTATTAATTCATTAGCCATTTATGCAAAGATAATATCAAGTCTAAATTTATCAGAACTAGTTTTACAGTGTGGAATAAAAAAAAACATATATAGCTTTCACCCGCGCCGTGAATTAAAAAAAAGTATATGTTGGTCCAGACTACCCTCTACATCAATGACAAATTCACTCGAGATTCGTTCAGCAGTTTAGGTTACAAACTCTAGCTGTTAGCTTTTTAACTATTTTGATGTATTCTGTATTCTTGAAGGTTATTTAGTCTGTGCTATAAATCAATGCCATTGTTTAGTTTATTAGTTTGAAATAACGATATAACTTTGTAATGGTGATTCAAAATATTATTTATAATATTTATGTCATGGTTTTAAAATGTCGTAATTGTGCTTGTTATGTTAATAATCGAATAGTAGTCGGATGTCAAAAATAAGGGTGTTGCATTAGCTCGACGAGACGACGGCCATATTGGTAAGGTATTCTGTGCAAATTGGAAGAAAACATAAGAGGTAATGAAGACTATATTTTATTAAAGCATAACATGGCTGTGACGCCCATATAACAAACATCCATCTAAACTTTCGCGTTTATAATATTCGAAAGATGGTACTAAGGAATAGTGTAGCTTTCTAATGGTAAATGGTTTTATTTTTTAATTGACCTGTTTGTTTTAGCGTATATTAATAACATACAAATCTATCTTCTTTATATTATTAGGTAACATAGAAATACACATTAACTGCTGCAGTTGTTTGTAATCATTTTAGCAGTCGATTTGTGTAAATTTTTCATACTAAACAAAAACTAAAGGGCTCCTTTAGTGACTACTTAAAAACTCCGAATGTGCTAAATCAAGCAAGTAAAAATAAAAGTTCCAATACAATTGATTGCCAGGTAATATAAACCTATACATTTCACTACAAACGCAATCACGGAACAATATAAAACTTGTACAATATTTATATCAACAACACCTTATTTCTGTCAGTGACCTATGAATTCAAGAAAATATAGCTATCATAAGAACCAGGCGAAAGCAGCGAAATTGTGAGAAAGAAGTATTACACTATCAAAATAGATCAGTTATAAAAAAAGTGCAAGAAAATAGCGAATACTCGGAAAAATGAAAGTTGGCGGATAGCCACAAATAAAGTACAACACTAATGTTTTATCTGGAGACATAACGAGTCATGATACCCTCGGGGATCGCGGATATTGATGTCACTTTTTTTCTTTTTAAAATAGTTAAATTATGCCAGATTTTCAGCCAGTTTTTATAACGTTTTCAAATAACGTATATAGCATTGTATATCGCTTGCTTTCGCCCGCGTATCTGTCTGACTTTTAGACTCTACGTCTAAGCGAAATTTCATCAACATCCGTTAAGTTTAGGCTACAAACTCTAACAAACATCCATCTATCCTTCTAAATTTTCGCATTCACAATGTTAGTAAGATTGGTAAGGTTAGAGCAAGTTCATCTTTGACTAAACTATCGCACATCTGTTGTGCGATTGTCGATTGTTTCGCAGCCAATTCAACTGTTTAGTTGCATAACTAAAAATGGAGTAGTGTGCGTATAAGCCAATAGGAATCAAAGCGAGAATAAACAGTTATGCGATAGTTTAGCTTCAGGAGTGCGCATTTTCTTATTTAAAAGCATAATCAACACCTTCTTCATTAGTTTGCAAGAACCAAGAACTGTGTTTATTTATTTAGAAGTAATTGACTAGACGAGATTTAAGACAATCATACTAAAATAAAATGCTATCTCAATTTTTACAAGTAAAAGTACGAAAATCGACAGTGGATAAGACAGACACATACAGATATACTTAACGGCCGAATATTGAAACGGCATTTAAATTCGTAACAAATTCCAATTCCAAATTCCAATTTTTAAGTCAGTATGCGGGCGTAAGTTCTAAAATTGTTACTTATAAGATAAAATCTCTTTTTTGTACTTTTCTTGAAGAAAATACTACATCTAGAAAAAAGAATAGTATAAATAAAGTGAGACCTAGATTAAGGAAAACTATATTTTCAAAGACACGTCTCATAATTTACTACGAGATTTTTATACAACCCCACACTAAAGTATTTTTATCATATGTACACTCACTCTTCGTCTAAATTTAAAAATTGATGCGGGGGCAACGATGCAATGCTTAACTTTTACGTTCTATTTTAAATATGTTACTCAATTTTTATCTCTATCCCTAATAGCATAAGGTTTAAAAGTAACATTGTACATTTTCATTAAAGTATCAATCGAGTTCTAGTAATAGGATATGACGTCGATAAAATACGATTTTTTGGTAATTTTTATAGTACAATATAGTGGTAATTTAAAAACTAAAATAACAGTGTTGCAATTCGAATAATTCATAGTATCTTTCGATTTAACTTACAAATAAAGTTTTTTTTTTCATAAAAACCTAGAAAAAAGTTTCGAAATTCAAAAAGTTTTAAGTGATAATTTTAAAAACTCACTGAAACTTTAGTAAGCCCTATCCAGTGTTAATAAAATATTCTAAAGCTAAACGATTGATATATTACGTTAGAAGCTAAACGATCCGTGATTGAATGAAGCACCCGTCAAGTTAATTCCGTAACCAGCATTAACCTATATTATATTTTCTCCACAGATCTCTAGTTTACGTAACAGAGAAACTAACTGTAATGGGCTAGAGTATAATACTGGACCAAGTTCAGAAATTCTTCTTCTATTATTTGTTTCAAATGCTATCTGTACAATGTTATTTTTAAAAAATCCGATTGTCTTTTGTTTGCAAAAACAAGAAGCCATTTTTTTTTGTTTTTGAAATGTTTTACTACAAATATGCATTTCTTTATTTCTAACTATTTAACTATGTTTTCCATACTTATAAACAGGAAAGATTTGTACTTTTACCACTAAAAGCTACCTTATCAGAGAGTGATATAGGCTATATTTTTAACAATTATTTCACGAGGACGAAGTCGCGAGCAACAGCTTGTATACAATAACCAGTTTATAAGTGAAAAAGGGGTCGTGTAAGATTTTTTTATATCGTTAATATCATTTACTTTTAAAAGTACACATTGATTTATGATTTGAAACTTGGGTCACGTCACCTTCTGTCGACATCAAAATTTGTACGAGGCGTTAAAATAAGAAGAAGCACAGTTGGGCGAGCGGATCTGTCATAACATTGGTAAGTCAATATT